GTGCAAATTAGGAAACATTGGTAATTTTTTAGTTTTTTTGTTATCTTTTTTTTCTTTTAAAGAGGAGGGGGTGGTGCTGGAGGGCTGGGGGACGGCTGGGGAGGAAGGGAGAGCCAGGTATAATTTGCCATGCAGTTATCAGCCGCCGCGAGCTGACGTCAGGAGCCAGGTCACAGGAATCCTTGACTAAGCACCATGCAAAGTTAGGTAGCTGGGGGCTGCCAGGTGCCCCCTCCCCTACCCCGCCTACCCGCACCCTAAGGTTCCCAGCTGAGAAGCTTCTGGAGACCCCGACTGCACCTCCCGGAGAGTACGGCCCATGCTTTGGTCCCCAACAGCCAGGCAGTGGATGGGCCCTGGGGACAGACGGACGGACGACGGGAGGGGGCCTGGTGGGGAAGGGTCTTGGGTCATTCTCTTTATGATTAAGTGGGTTCACCAAGCCCCTTGGGCTGGTTTGGGAGGAAAGTCTGGTTTCTGGGGAGGCAGGAGGAGGCTGGCCAGGCCTGGGGCACCGGGGTACCAGGGGAGGGAGAGGAGGGGGGCCAGGCTGGGTATAGTTGAGGCGGAGGCCCTGCCCAGGGCAATGGCTTTGGCCCAGGCCTGGGGATGGGGGGCCGTGGTGGCAGAAGGCGCTCCCCAGCGCCAGGCCTGGAAGAGGCCAGTTAGGGCTCAGGAGGATGGACCTGGAGGGAGTCTTGTGTTTGGGCCTGATGACCCTAGGACACCAAACACCCGATTCCCTGGCCCCCCGCTCACCCAAGGCCATCCTGGGGTTGGGGCAGGGATGGGGGTGAGGGGGCACCTGGGGTCCCCAGGTTTAGTGTTTTTGGAGCGGCTCAACGGAAAACGCTTAGCTGATGGGAGGTCCCCTACATGGCTGCAGGGAGCCCCGAGGCGCTGACCCTTCCTGCCCTCAGCCAGAACCCCCGACCCTGTCCAGGCGCAAGCGGAGGGCACTCGGCCCGGCCTTCTTTCCTTCTGGCCGCCCAGCTGCACTGCACCTCCCCAGCTGTGCCCACTTCGCAGGGGAGATGAAAGTGCAAACCATGGTCCCCCTGTGCGCCGAGAGGCACAAGGGAGGGGGTGTCGCTCCAGAATGTAAGGCACTGGCAGAGGAGGCGTGGGGAGGGGGCACATCGGCTTCCCCAGATCCCACCCCCACATGGCAGGACGCTTGGGGGATGCCCAACTCTGCCCCCTGGGTCTGCTCGGGGGGTGGGGGGGTCCCATTTCTCTAGCTCTGAGGGGGCGCACAGCAATGAGGGGTCAGTGACTGGAGGGGGCCGGGTTGTGGGGGAGGAGGGTGGAGGATGCCCACGGCCACTCGCGTCCCAGCTGGACAAAGGGGAGGGGGGCGGGCGGTGGGAATCAGGCACTTAAACCACTCGCTCTCACCTCCCACCTCCATGGGCTAAGTGGGGGGTCCTCCCCTTTCAGGGCTTGGGTGGATGGAGAGTCCAGAGGGGTGCCCCCATCTCGGGGAGCTCCAGGTCTCTCTGCTCCACCGCCCCCAGCCCCTTCCTCGGAAAGTGCATCTCTTACAGTGTGTGCAATGCGGAGCCCTCCCCGGGGGTGTGGAGCTGGCCGGGGCTGGGGTGCCATGGGGTGGCCTCCAATGCCTGGGGTGGGGCTGGGGGTCGTTTGCATAGAGACTTCTCCCAAACCGGGCAGGCGTGGGGCTTCCAGAAAGAACAAGTCCCCAGCACGCTCTGGGACAGGCAGAGGTCCACGAGCGCAAGACACTCTTGAGAGAGCACAGGCCACGCATCCCAGCTCCCTGGCCACGCCCGGGGTCTCCCCACAACCCTCTTCTGCCCTTGTCGCTTCCCCAACCACCCTGCTGGCCTTGGCTGCCCGCTGCTGGGGTCCTGCCTTTCCACTTGGCAAACACTGTCGCGGGGGCCTGGCCGACGTCCTGGCAGCGGCGGCAGCAGGGGCATGGGGAGAGGTGGCCTCGCTGGGTGTCCTGCCCCGTCGGCCGGGCACGGGCACCAGGCTGCGCTCACCTGGTCCTGGGCGGAGGTGGGAGCGGTGCCGGCCCTTCCAGAGCAGCAGCGAGAGGAGATGAATAACTTAGGAAGGCGCGCCGGCTCTGAGGGGTGGCGGGGCCGGGCTCTCCGGTCCGGTCCGTCTGGCCGCGGCGTCCCGAGAGTCCGAAGCGTTGCCGCCTTCACCTTCTGCCTTCTTGGTTGGGTGGGTTTATTTTTATGCATGGTTTTCTTTTCCGGTTTGCTTTTTTTTTTTCCTCTTTTCTTCTTTTTCTGTTTTCTTTCTCTGTGTA